TGAAGGGGTGGGGAACCTGTGGCCTTACAGACGTTGCTGGACTAGATTTTGCTTTTAAGAAGGTACAGAATTGCTTTCTGTTGAATGCCTGATTTCTGTTTTGGGCAGATGGTGAGTGTGGCAAACCTTTCATTGACATAAATAAAATAAATAATATTTTTTGGTGAGGCTCCTGGGAACTTCTAAAGTAATTTTTGGCTCCATCTATAGGCAGAATGGGAGAATGGAAATGAATGGATTCTACATTTATTCAAATTTGTGTGGGTGTGGGTGAGAGAGAGCTATAGAGAGAAATGAAAGAATCACATGTGATGGCAAAGATATCAGGCTAGAATTAACAAAATATATTGACTGAAACTGAAAATTATTTCATAGGAGAATTTCATTATTATTATTTAGGCCTAATAAGAGATGCTCAGTGACTGACATAAGTGTTGGTATTATTGGAGGGGAAAGCGGATAAGCTACTTTGCTGGGTGTGTTAGGTTTTTAGCCCTGTCGCAGAGGGGCATCTGGGTGTACTCATTTTCAACTTTATTTCATTATGTTGGGTTTGAAATGGGTTTATTTGAATGGGCTTGGCATTTGTAGACCAGTATTCAAGGAGTCCAGAACATCTGTAGTCAAGGGGAATCGAAATGCAATGCAACAGGGATAAATGAGGAAATGGATTCTCAGCTCTTCACGCAGTTTCCCTTGCAGGGATATTGCTGCAGAGTTCAGCAAATGTTGTGCAGCAGGGACCACCCAACTTTTCCCATCTTGGAAGGGGAGCAGGCCCATTACAAAATTCACAAAATAAGTTGGACACGTGAAAGGGCACTGGGATCCCTCCCCTGAGAAACAAGTATTGCACAAGCACTGGAGAGGCTGGGATTACCAGAGAGTTTAGATTTGGGTGGTGTGCCTTTCTCAGTGCAAGGGCCGCATTCCCTTCTCAGCAACCTTCTGAGGTCCACATGTAATGGTGGGAGGGGCCAGAAGCAAAAGTAGGCAGAGCAGTGTATGTAAATTTGACCATCAGCCAGTAGGCTATTTTCTATACACCCCCCATATCCTCCATCTAGACAAGCAAAAAGAAATGCCAGAATTCCTCCCAACGAGGCAAAGCCATTTGATAATGCCAAGGTTGCAGGTTTGATCCCCGCATAGGAGAGCTGCATGTTGCTGCCTTGCAGGCGGTTGGACTAGGCGATCCTCAGGGTCCCTTCCAACTCTACAATTCTATGATCTATGATGGGATGCTAAGCAGGGCCAGTGAGTGGGAGAGTGCCAAGGGCCAGATAGAGAAGTTGGGGTTCCCCATCCCTGGAGTAAATGGAAACCCACCCTGCTCTAGGAATTACGAGTTTCTGTGATCAGGGCAGTCTCATGATAATGTGTAATCCATTCCATGGAACACCGCGGCTGCTGCAGAGAAAGGTCAAGGCTGTTTCATATGTGCAGAAAGAGGATGGAGCCAGTGACTCACAAACCCATCTCTTGCACTTCTGCGTAATGTGCAGAGGGAGAACTGGTACATTTCCTTTCTGGCAGGGGGTTCCACACGCATTTCGGGCCCTGCTTACTTTGCCTTGGGGACTGTTGAAATTCTATGAAGCTGCAATGAGGGAAGTGAAAACATTGGTTTTGCTTGGGGAAACCCCACACTTTAGGCCTGGGGCAGGAGCTATGGGAATGTGAGACAGCTTGGATTTCATACTATTTCCAAAGACACAACCAAATCCTTGACAGGGAAGGCAGGAGAACTGCAACACACCAAGTTAAAATTTATGTCGTGGTTTGAAGTCACTGGCCACATCTGTGGCAGCAGCTAGCTTGTGTAGAGTGAATTACTTTAAAGTGTATACAATATTATGGAACCATTTGTGGCTGATGCTTTATTGTATAAAGGTAAAGGGACCCCTGACCATTAGGTTCAGTCGTGACCGACTCTGGGGTTGCGGCGCTCATCTCGCTTTATTGGCCAGCATGACTAAGCTGCTTCTGGCAAACCAGAGCAGCGCATGGAAACGCCATTTACCTTCCCGCCGGAGTGGTACCTATTTATCTACTTGCACTTTGACGTGCTTTCGAACTGCTAGGTTGGCAGGAGCAGGGACCGAGCAACGGGAGCTCACCCCGTTGCGGGGATTCGAACCGCCAACCTTCTGATCGGCAAGTCCTAGGCTCTGTGGTTTAACCCACAGCGCCACCCGCGTCCCTGCTTTATTGTATAATGTAGTGCTATTTGCTGTGAAATCTGTGGCCCGATGGAACCATCCCTAAGGCTGTGGGCAGTTGGGCAGTGTGAAGAATATCGTTTCATTTAAGTCTTGTTGCTTCTCACATGGTACCTGCAACTCTTTATTATTTTTTTAGCTACCTTTATTTTTCAGCACCCTTCAGGCAAAGTGTTTTGGATGTACATGGAGCCATTACAGAACTCATGGCTGAACACCTTTTTTAAATGGAGGGTTCCTTTCCTATGGAATGCCTTCCCCAGGTGGTTTGTTTGGCACCTACTCTTTTGCCTTCTGGGTGCCAGGAGAAAACATTAAAAAAAAAAAATTCCCCAGGCTAGTTAAGTGACCGTGAGAGTTTGATGATTATGATTAATAAAGAAATCACCGGGTTGGGTCTGGAGCATCCTTTCCCTTCAACAAAGGTTGCCTTCCATGCAGGTGGGCTCAAGATTTAATAAAGGCTCTGTGGTAGAGGAACAGCAAAGGGGGAGAGAGATGATTTTTCCTAACTCCCTGGACCCCTTCTCATGCTTCTTGGGAGGGTTATCCCAATCAGAGCAGATTTTCAGGAGGCAGATGCAGGAGGAAGACAGACAAAGCAAAAACTTATGCTCTCCCATTTTCTTCAGCATGAGTGCAATTGCACCTCTGTCGTAGACCGTTGACTTGTTATTTTGGATTGTAAGCCACTCAGAAAGTGCCAGTAGCACTGAAGATGCCGGGTGTCAATATCAGAAATGTTTTTAAAAGGAGATTATATCAAGGAGGTGCCATTTTGTACATCCCTTGAAAAAAGGTTTGCCGCAAGCATGCAAATCATTTGCCCATTATTTCCTGAGGGGATGTTTTGCTTTGTACACGTGGTTGTCTTTGTGTAGCTGCTTCCTGGCAGCAAACTCAGTGGCACCTCCGCCTACTCTCAAGTAGACTTGCTCAGCAGCTGCTGACTAGCAAAAACCCACCCACAGTAACATCACAGTATGCTCAGCAGTTCATTGTATGAGAAGATGCTGCACAAAAATGATTAAGGTACTCCTCAATTACCCTGGGGATATGTACTTGCCCCCAGGCCCAATTAGGACAGTGAGACACCTCAATCTCAGGCGCTTACCCAGGGTTTGATGCCAAATTGAATAAAATACAAGGGGAGGGGGAGGTAAGCCCCACCCCACATAATCAGACACCCCCCCATTTGAATGGCAATACCCATCAACTTGGGGGGGGGCAGCCCCCTCAAATATTTTAATAGGGGGGCCGTAGACCCCATGGCCCTTAGGAGTTGGATCCTATGTTACACAAATATACAACCTGAGCCTACATTGGAGGGGCTCAGAGCATTAATACCTCAGAAGGTCTTGCTTCTCCCATAGTCAAACCTTGGGATTCCAGCAGAAATCAGGCATGGCTCTCACTCTCAGGCTCCTGCCTGCTTCTAGCCCATCATAAAGGTAAAGGTAAAGGTACCCCAGAGTCGGTTATGACTGGACCTAATGGTCAAGGGTCCCTTTATCTTTGCACAAATGTGTGTGTGTGTGTGTGTGTGTGTGTGTGTGTGTGTATACTGTATGTGTGTGTGTGTGTGTGTGTGTGTATATATATATGTATATATATGTGTGTATATATATATATATGCATCTGCTTTCCCTTTCTCCCTGGTACCTCTCTGCACTCATGACCTAAGAAGGCCTGACCTTTAAAATGTGGCACTTGCATGAATCCCTTTGAAATGAAATGGGGCTTCTTAAGGACAGCAGTTCAGATGGAGAAATGCCAGGCGCCCAGCCTTTCTCTCCCTGGCAGCAGTTACTAGAATAGTTCCCTGAAAGTGTTCCTTCCACCAAAAAAACTGGTCCAACCTGACCCTGTTTGGCTTTCCCGGTGAGAAACGGTTCATTGTCCTGGCTGCTGTGGCTTCAAACCAGCGTTAAAACCTGGAGAGACATGGGAGGGAATATCTAATCCCTATCCAGATTTTGGCGGTCTGAACACCAACTCAAGCCACTCCAGTTGCATAAGCTGGAGCTTTCTGAATCAGCTGAGTCCCTTTTTCTGCCTCCTCCAGGCATGGCTGCATCTAGTACTTTTTATTTTAAGGGCTCTCTTCCCTCCCCGCCCCCCCCCGTTGCGTGCCTCAGAAAAACAAGAAGAAATGTAAGGAGTTGATTTGCTGAAGCTTGTTGCTTCCTCCTACCATTGTGCTGGGTTTTTGTTTTGTTTAGTTGGAGACCGGGCTCTAAATATATTTCAGACTGGGGGAATTTCTCAACTGCACTGCAGTAAGTGAATGCGTAAAATGCAGCTGTACTCACTGTTAGCCACAGCTGAGTGCAGTGGATATTAAGGGATTGCAGATATGCTCTGTGTGAGATGTTGTGGGCCTCTATGTCTTGTGTGTGGGGAGGTGGGGCGGGGTGGGGGGAGGAAGCAAGCTTTTAAAAAGGGATTCCCTAGTTAAATGCCATTAGGCATTCAATTCCCCACGCTCCAGTGTGTAAATTGTTTGGATGTTATTAGATTTAAACTGCCACTCTTTGGAAATGTATTTGCCCTGAACAAGGTTGCTGATGTCACTGGTAAGAGTTCACACATCCTGGGAGAGGCTCAAGATTGAAACTGAGGTGTATCTGATTCAGCCCCAAGGCAGAAAAACTGGATGAGGCAGGTCTCTCTCTCTCTCTCTCTCTCTCTCTCTCTCTCTCTCTCTCAATTTCTCTCTCCTCCCGCCCCACCGACCCCACAACAGTCTCCTCTCCTTCTTATAGAATATGTAGCTTTTGAAATTGCATGCACTTGACAAATAAGGAAGTGTTTTGTGCTAAATTCAGCTTTTATTCTAAGGTCACAGAATGCTCCTTTTAATTCTGACATTTAAAAAAATTGTGTGTGTGTGTGTGTGTGTGTGTGTGTGTGTGGAACAAGCAGCTAAGCTTCAAACTATTATCTGAGTAGTCCTACCGATTGCAGTGCTGCTGCTCTGAAGAAAGAAGTTTTGAGACTCCTGAGCTTACAGGCACCCCCCCCCCCATTCTTTATTCTAAGAATTTGATCCTACCTGTCAGGTAAAGATGTTCTCTGGTCACCTAACAAGCTGAAATGCATGTAAGATGCAATAAAACAACAACACCAAGGTATTAAAAGAATACTGGCTTTTGTTGTTGTTTTTTTACATAGTTTTATTGCACTGGTGTATATTGCTGGAGGAGTCTGCCTTGAACAGGCCTTTATTTGTGACTAAGGATGAAACTGAGCTACTTGCATCTTACTTCTGCATAAGATTGTACTGCACGTCCTGTTGAAATCGGTTGGGTTTGTGTTAACCGTAAATAAGCTGTTCTTATTTGGTTACAGTGGGACTTAGTCATGACTAGACTGAGGCCCAGCTGTTTTTCAACCTTTTGGCTTGTTCAAATAATTGACTCTGTGTTACATGTATGTCATGGTTACCAAGTTACATATGTGCTATGTATAACATAAATATTTGCTGAACCCTTTTTGGCACCTACCAAGAACACTTTTCTCGTCCACCTTATCCAAATGTGTAGGAAAAGGCATTTGTTGTAATCTGTATTTAGTTTAACTATTGATTTCAATTATACTTTGATTTTTTTTTAAAAAAACCTTGTTATTAACCTACGTCCTTTATTGACAAATGTAATGTTTGTTTTATCTTTTGTAAACCACTTAGAGGTTCTTTTTTTTTTTTACAATTTATCAGTATATAAATTGTAATAAACAAGCAAAAATAGTTACAAGTGATCTAGATCATCCTACAGTCTAGTTAGGCACCAACTGCAGCATTTTATTCTGTTAGGTGCATGTTCACCTTTATCTTAATGCCATTCTGTAGAATTCTTAGTCCAATCAGATGATAAGCAGGTCACAGTTCTGCCTCCCTAGGACAGAGCCTGGACTTCTGAACAGTATAGTAAAGTGATTAGCCTCAGATCTTCCAGAGGAGAGAAAATGTGGCTTAGTGGTAGAGCGCATGCTTTGCATATTGAAAGTCCCAGGTTTGATTTCTGCAAAGCCACTTCCGCCCTTTGGAGAAGGTGGAGTTGCAGGCTTCACGTCCCCACTGCGCGATTGGGGGGATTCCTGGCTGCGTCACCTCCTGGCCAGCCAATCGGCTGGCTCTTGGGGGTGGCCTGCCTTATTTAAAGCAGGACGCGGCCAGGGATCTCCCTCTTTGCTGCCTACCAGCTGTTCCTGCTTTTCCCACCCTCCTGCCCTATAAGCTTTTCGTTCCTTGACCTTGCTATGGACCTTGGTTGGTCGCCATTGAGGGGTCTGGTAGGAATTTTTCCACTTGGCAAATTGGCACCAGCCACTTGGTTTTCGCCTACCTCATAGCAAATCGTCACAACTTTCTTGGTATTGGTGGTTAGGCATTGGTATTGTTCTGTAGATGGAAGAGGGGAGGTAGCGCCATCACCTGCCCCGCATATTGAAGGGTAGTCCAATAAAGGATTCCAGGGTGCGTGGCCCTGTCTGAAGCCTGGGGAGGTGAGGGCCTAAGGCACGCCCCCTATCGGTGACTGTGGGGGAGTTCCTAGTTGATGTGCATCAGCAGGACTCCCCCTACTGGTGGTTAACCCTTCCTGGACTTCTAGCAGATGGGCTGAAGTCAGATATAGTTGGTTAGGACCAATGCCTAAACCAATACCACTCATCACCTGTAACCAATAAAAGTTGTGGCCTTATTTAGCCCATTAACCTTAATAATTGTGTCATTATTTCCACTGTGTGTGGGGGTGGGTGGTGGGTGGGAACTCACCACACAATATCCAGGCAGAAATGAGACACTTCTACCCAAAATCCTGAAGAGCTGCTGCCAATCAGTGTAGATGGTACTGAATTAGATGGAGCAATGCCCTGACTCTGGACTCAGCTACATTGGCCAAGAAAAAACGCTTTATAAGCAGTGTTTATGCATTCTAACCCTGTGACAACAGATGGCGCTGTGGAGTTCCATTTTTGTTTACCCGATTTCTCATACAAAGTTTGCAACGCGTTTAACTGATACACTTCTTTGATATGTCTAGATCCAGTCTCTGTCTCTTGCCATTTTGTTTCAGGTCTCCCTAACAGCAAACTTGAGTAGTTGAGGGCCTATCAGTGTGGAAGCAAAATGAGGCTGCTCTCAAAATAAGGGGGTTACTCTGTGGGTACGCAGAAGCTTGTAAAATGGGAAATTAAATGAAAAAGAACTTTTTAAAAGGCCACAAAATTGCTTTTCAAGGATCTGTGACGTTCTGGGAGTTGCACAATGTTGAGGGTAATGGAGGAAGAGAGAGAGGAAACTGGAGGGGTGAAGAGGGGATTGACCTGTTCAAGTCCCTAACACTTTATAGTAAGCATTCTGGAGGGGAAGGATTAGGAATGAGAAGAAAAGCACACGGGGAATCTCCGCTGGATAATGTAGGCTTTGAATGTGTCTCTAGGCAAAAAAGCATCTTTATCTCAGTGTATCTTTTTGGCTGCACTGTTCAATGCAATAATGCTACTTTGGCCCTGAGTCCCTCACTGAATATAAATTTTCTTTGAAGACATTGTGGTTCTCTGCCCACTTTGCCACAATGTATATTTTTTTATTATTTTCCCTGGGCCACTTGTCCCCCCCCCACTTGCCTTTCCCTTTTGGTTTTATGCAACGAGTGATCAGATAACAGTGAAATGATTTCCTTGGGACTGGACAAATATAGGTCACATTGTATGTTCCCCTCTTGCACCTGAGGTGTGAGAAGGAAGATGTATAGAATTCTTAATTTAGACAACCAGAAATAAATTTAATGCCATGTAGGAACTTTTAATTGCGTAATCACAGAGGGGCTTTTGAAAACTGTATCCTCATCAGAACTATCATTCACTGTATGTAGTTAATAATAGTAATAATAATAATAATAATAATAATAATAACAATAATACATTGACTATATCAGTGGGATAGCTGTACATATAAAATCTATAGAGTGTTCAAGAGCTTTTTCCAGGAACACTGTAAACATTTCATTTCGAAAGGTTGTTTCGCATTGCATGGATTAAAAAAGGTAGACAGGTGGGCAATATGTTTGTTCGAAATGTTGTTAATATTTTGCAGTGAGAAAGTACAACACAACATGGGCTGTATCTGACTAAGTCATACCTGGATTAGACCCATCAAAACCATTGGGCTTAAGTTAGTCACAGCTAACTTTACCCACTGAAACCAAATGGACTTCACTTGGCGCCTCAGCTATGTGACCATAACTATAGTAATTTGACTTACACTGGGGTTAAATTACTATATTATTTTGGGCTTGAGCAAGACACTCACCCTTAAACTCTTACTTCCTGAAATATACTCGGAGCTGAGTGTTGATTTCATGCTCTTTATTTCAGCTCATGGTGAGTGAGTATGTCCCCTCGCCCCCAAAACTCTGGCTATATATACATTATTTACACAATGGGTCCCACGTGATTGACTGATTTCACTCCCCTCCTGGAGCCTGATTGGGCTGCTCCTGCAGACCAATCAGGTTGCTGCCTTCTAGGATCCTACCTGCCTATTGTTCTAGGATCCAAGCTCAGTACAGTGGTACCTCGGGTTACAGACTCTTCAGGTTACAGACTCCGCTAACTCAGAAATAGTACCTTGGGTTAAGAACTTTGCTTCAGGCTGAGAACAGAAATTGCGCGGCGGCAACAGGAGGCCCTATTAGCTAAAGTGGTACCTCAGGTTAAGAACAGTTTCAGGTTAAGAACGGACCTCCAGAACGAATTAAGTTCTTAACCTGAGGTACCACTGTACATGACACTTCCCTTTCCTTTCACATCCATTGCGAATAACCTGTTTCGTTTGCCTGCAGAAAAAGAAAAAGAAAAAAGGATCTGTTCCTCATAAGAATAATTACCCCATTCATTCCAGATTCCAGTGTGTCTCTTGGGTCTGTTTCGCATGAGAGCTGGCATTCTAATGCATTGGGCACATGCATTATTTTGCAGGAGTGGAGTCTATTCTTATGCCAAAATGAACTGTATGTTCCTGCAAGTGCATAAACCACATTCTTTTTTTTCTGGGGTGAGGGGGATCTTAACCCTTGCCCAACTCATTGAGGGCCACATGCCAGCAGTTGGTGTGGCCAAACGTGGGCATGCTCTTCCCCATACAGGACAACACAGCACATGGTTCTCCCCTCCTTAAGTGAGGAGGGTCCTGTTATATGTTATATTTTATTTTTTAATCCAAACTTTTACCAGATTATGAAAATCACAGACCCTTGTTAATTTGTTCAGTAATCTGCCTCTGATCAAACGTGCCTCAATTTTGGCCATCAGAAAAATAATAAGTCAAATACTGGACTATGTAGAGAGATTCTCAGCTGCTCCGCATGCTTTCCACAGACCACCTGTATAGAACTCATGGGCCACTGTTTCAGAACCTCTGATTTATTTAATTATGTGTTGATCAAAAACAAATAGCACCAGAGGATGGGCAGGAAAAAAGTAATGATTGCTCCCCTCGGCAGAGGGGAGTCTGTAGCCTAGATAACTGGGAGTTTGGACAATAACACTTGGAACAATAAATTTCCTGGGAAGATAATGTATGGATTCTCATTTTTAAAAATTGTTCCATTGATTTCCAGGCAGGGGTCCCTCACTTCATCAGGACAGTTTGAGAACCGCAGTATTTTCTGAAAGCCCACACTACAGCATAGCTGGTTACAGGTAGGCAGATGTTGTTATGGTACAATTTAAGACGAGTGCTGTCATTTGCTGCCAACTAGAGGAATAACTCCAGATGCATTAAGGGAAGTTGAGTGTTAAAAAATGCGATCGCCTGAAATGACCAAACTAACTTGATAAAGTTTTAAGTGAAAGGGCTGGTATCTAATCTTTTGCACAAGAGAGCTTGAAAAGACAGCCCCACAAGAATATCCTGGACCTAGAGACCAGCTCCAAGGGCCAGTGTTGTTGTGCGCCTAACTGAGGCCCACGGCCAGTCCCTGCTCCCTGCCTCCTTGCTCCTGCCCTCACTGTGCAAGTGAGCAGAAAGAAGCAAAGAGAAGGATAAGCAATACCTTGTCCTCTCTCTAGTGCCAGCTTGGGTCCAGAGGGCAAGGTAACTGAGTGGGCAGTAGCAACAGTGCCAAAGAAGACCCTTTGGGAAGGATACCCCATGAAGAGTACCTTAACCCAGAACCCCCTCCTCCCTGAAACACCTGGAACTGGCAGAAGCAGCTAAGAGATGAGATGGAGAACAGTGGCACTTCAATTTGCAAAGTGGTGTGAATGCATCTTCTGTTTTCTTGTTATTATCTACATTTTGATATTTTCATATACAGTAGTGGCTGTATTTTGAGATGGTGTGTATGGTTGTGTGTATATAATCTTAACCCCACTTTCCCAAACAACCATGAGCCCTATTCAGGCATTAAAGGTAGAGCCATTGTGTGAGTGGGAATGTGCTGAGAGTATTGGAAGCACCTCCCAAGTTGCGAGAAATGCTGAGATCGAATCAGTGGGGATGTGCAGCCGTAGTAGTGGACGGCAGGGAATTCCAGCGATTGACAGTAACAGATGAGTTTGCACAAAAGAAAATGGAGGAACTGAGAAAAGGTAGAGGGGAAGAGGAAGATTTCAAGGAAAAAGGTGGATTGTTGTACAGGAGAGGGGTTGCCGTATGTACCTGCAGGTGAATTAAGAGGTAAAGTGTTGAGGCAACATCATGATAACCCGACTGCAGGACATTTTGGTAGAGAAAAGATCCTGTATCAGATCACACGGCAGTTCTGGTGGCCAAAGTTGAGGGAGGAGGTAACACAATATGTAAGAGGTAAGCCAAGCCCACGCACTAGCCCTGCCCCTTGTGTCTGCACAAGTGTGTGGAGGAAGGGAACTGTTGTGCATGCTGTTGTATACACACAGGCTCCCACCCTGAAGATGTTTGTGCCATACCTGTGGATGCCAGGGGGATTGAGTTCAGCAGGGTGCCGCTTCTGTGCTACTCTCGACTCTGAATGTAATGGCTGAATAGGGCTGCTGTCTCCCAAACTGTCTCACTTTGATAACAATAATTAAAAAATGAGACTGATCATGCCCCTCACAAACTACAAAGACACAATGCACAAGAGAAGAGGAATGGAGGGGGAAATGCAGAGGAGGGAGAGTGGTTTGACACTGCTAGGACAAAGTAGGAAGTAAGTTGTAAACAGGCATTGATAGCCAGTTTGGGCCAGTTTGATCTTTCCTTGCTGGTGAACATGCGTGGATGGAGTAGATGGAGTAGCTGCAAATTACCTAGCAGCTCCTGTTCTTCTGGTTGGTGTCAGAGCCAGGCTCTGTTTCCCCACACATTTGTGATCTGAGGGCATAAGTTAGTCATTTAGATGTGCTGGTGAATCATATTAGTGTGTTCCGCATGTCATGTCAACATTTTACAGAGGCATGCAAATGGTACCTTCGGCGTTTTTTCTTTTTCTTTTTTGGAAAACAGCACGTGGCATTTCTATATTGTTAACCAGGAAATAAATAAGTCAGTAAAAACAGGCTATTGGAAATTGCTTAGATATCCTGATAGTCACTATAGGGCACACCCAGACAGCTATGGAGAAGGGATGCCTTGAGCCCCATGTAGGTGATCTGTTCAGATTATTTCTGAAACTTGAAAAATTGTGACTCGCAAACATTTTCAACGTGTAAAGATACCAAAGCAGCACAAGCACAGCAGATAAAAACCCAAGGTAAAGTTCCAGGTAGGCACACATTAGTAAAAATCAGAATTTAGCTCAGTGATTTGATGGAGGAGGGTCCGCCTTAACGGTTAAGGTGATGCTCGTATGCTTAAAACCCACCTTCTTCAGGAAGTTAATGGTGGTTTTCAATCTTGGTTGTAGACCTCTGTTATCACTTATATGACTAAACAGACGATCAATTCAGAAGCTGTGCACTTGAATGAAGGGGATGGACAAATAAGCAATGAATGATGGCAACAGGAAAATCAAACTTCACTCCTGTTATTCTGTTTTAATGGCTAATACCAACAGGGACGAGACCAGCAAAAAGAGGTTAATGAATTGCAAAGATCCTTTAGAAAGTGATTGACTGGTATTGAAGCTCAGTCAAATCAGTCATAAATATTTACTATTATTAGCAACAGTAGGTTGCCTATTATTTCCAATTGATTTTAAAGCTGTCGGAAATCTACCGCCGCAACTATTAGCCAGTGATGTTGGGTTTTTTTTTTAATCAATATTTTCTAGAAACAAACAATTCTGCAGCATGTAAAACGTCTTAAATCCTGTTAAAATCACTTTTCCCACCCCTCCACAAACACTTTGCAAATGAAGAAAACACAGGACGTCAAGGCTTCCAATGCCATTCAGAATAACCATTCTAGTGTTCTCATTTATCTGCTGTATTTACTATAACAACTATGAGTTTTACCATTTCGTGGTGCTCTTTATTAAACCATCAATGAGCCTCAAAGCCAGAGTTGCCTTATTTATTTTACCATGTGAATGAGCCACTTAATAAGTTTTATTTGCAGAAGCTGCATATGGGATGAAGCTTTTCAAGGGTTAATACAACAATGTTCTTACTATTTGTGAACAATGGACTAAGATTTTTCTTGCTATCTCTTTTATAACATGGGAATTGGTAGAGCATTCACCACCCCCTCCTTTCACAGTTTTCTTCTATATTTGAAAAATAGGTCTTCAGAAAGGTAAGTTACCTTTCAGAAAGGTAGGCTTTTTGTTAAACCTTTTAAAAGAACAATTATTTATTTCAAAGGAACATAACAAAAGGGATTTTTTTTTTTAAAAAAGAGAGATAACAACAAAGAGTTAACATTTCCCTGGGCAGACAAGTTTCCAATTCAATTAGTTTTAATGAACCTTCTGCTCACTGGTTACTGAACTAGAAAGAACAGCAATAAATGCCCAGAGGAAAGAGAGAGAGAGGGAGAGAGAGAGGGAGAGAGACGATATTAAGAGGGTTACTATATAGTATATAAATTTCTAAGTTGACTAAAAGCTTAGCTGTGATATAGTCTTTTTTCAAAAGAAGAAACAAAAAGAACAATTGGAACCTAAATGTTCTCTCTCCCTGCCCAGTAAGTAATTGCCCCTATTTCTGCTTCTGCACTTTTAGATTTTAGACCAGTTTTGCAATTCTACAGTACTGTGCTGGATAAATGAACGTATTTTAAGAAAGCAGCTAAGGCTGCAAGCAGATACCCATTTACTTGGGAGATGGGGTGGGGGAGAAATTTGATCCCAGTTTGCGTTTAAAGGTGAACCTATCAAACCCAACTGGGATAGCTCAGTTGGTGGAGATTGAGATTCTTTATCGCAGGGTTGTGGGTTCAAGTCTCACCCTGAGCAAAAAGATTCCTGCATTGCAGGGGGTTGGTCTAGATGATTCTCGTGGTCCCTTCCAACTCTACAATTCTGTGGCTGTATTCTGAAACGAGATAGGAACCAAGTAGCAGCCACCCTTCGTACTTTTCATAATTTTGCAATGCGCTTTTCCATCCAAGTCATGTGCACAAAAAAGGGCAATACGTTCACTGCATAGTAGTGAAAATAACGTGCAAAAATGTGGGGAAAAACATTTCTTTTTAGAAATGTGTGTAATGGGCAGAATTGCCTACAAAGGTGAAATGTGCATTAAAATGCTGATGGATTTTCACGAGGACTTAAAAACAACAACTCACAACTGGAAATGTGGAGAACCAAAGAGTGGAAAAATGAGAAACCAAAATGAAATGTTTCCCCAACGCTACTTGAGGAGGGGTTTGGACTCGGTGACTTTCTGGGTCCCTTCCAACTCTACAATTCTGAGCCTATGAATTAAATGTGACCTGCATCTGAGCAAACATGTGTAGGATTGCCCTTTTAAGTAGCAGTGCTGAACCCTTCGAACAGTGTTAGGAAAATGTGTAAATATAACAGCAGGATACATTGAGTTATTATTTTTTCTTTCATTCCATCTACACATCTCATTTAAACAAATGCTTTGGTAGAAAAGTTTATATAGAGGTAAGTTGCCATCTTAAATGCATACGTCTGATAAAAGGGTATGGGGATCTTAATTGATTACGTTAAACTCAAAGTCTACTATTAAACTGCCTTTAGATCTGCCAGTTGCACCTGTAATACTTCAAGGCACATCCTGGTATGAGTGGGGCATCTGCATGTACCTTTGAACTCAACTTTATCTTGGCTGGGTGACATTTGGGTTTAGCAGATATTCATTCCATCTCTCAAGCTGCTCCATAACATTCTCCATAAGTTTGCTCCATAACAGAAGTTCTTTGGGTGGTCCAGAAAGCAATAGATAAAATTAAAAAAAATTATTAAAATGCAGTAAACAACAATAAAAACTATAACAAACACTTAAAAAACAGACCCCAACCTGAAAGACAATTAAAAGGCAACTCAAAACCAAGAGGCCCAAACGATGAAATATGTGTTGTGTAAGCAGGAAGCAGGCACCAGAAAGACTATAAAGATGGCACAAGGCAAATCTCTCTCTGACAAGGCTGGTCCACAACTGGGGTACCACTACCATAAAGGCCCTCTCCCTAGCGGTTCCCAGCTTTAAATCATTTGACAATTTAGGGTCTTGGAAGAGGATCTTGAGTTTTTCATATTGGTACATACTGTTCCATGTTAAGTATTCATCCATTTGTGCTACTGGGTACAAGAGAATGGTTGCAACATGCCACATCAGCAAAATTGAAGGAGCACCCCACATTCAGAATCTTGTGACTTGTGAAATAGTAATATTTTATTTTAATTTTATTCATGGAAATTCATTGATGATTAAAAAAAAATTAAGATGGCAATTAATTTTTTCCAAGTTCTTAAATTTCCACCTTAGTCATTCTGATTTTCTATTAAAGTAAGAAATATCCAAGGTCAATATTCCTTTTGGGATGCGGGTTATAAAATGCAATAATATCCACATGTGTTAATAATACTGGCTGCTGTGTTTGCTACTTTTTTTTAACCTTCATTCATTTAGAATCTCAAAATGGATTTTCAGTTAATCAGATTTCTTATTTTACACACATGCAGATATGTGCAACAAACTGAAATGAAGAATGTTTCATAACCATATATACTTCATAGTTTAAGAACAATTTTAAGCTGCCTATGATAAACACAGGCAAATATTAATGTATTTTTTCCATTGGATGAAAGCAAGATCAATATCTCCAATTGGCATTTCCTCTTCTTTTGAGAATTAAGTGCTTCCCGCCTCCCCAAGTAATTTTTAAAACTTATGCACTATTGCTCCTTAGATTCTGACATGCGGCACTGTAAATAAAAAGTGTTCCTATGCCTTGATCTAGGTGCTAGAACCAATATCTTTTTCAGCAGCGTCTGTTGGGTGTTTTAAATGTTCAGTCTTTTCTGAGCTTCTGTTATAGCGTTGCAACGAAACCATCGGACAACAATCCATGTAATATATTTTATAGATCTCCCTTTATGTGGAAAACGATTCTGAGACAGTGTCCTTTGGAAACACAAAAGATTATTGTTTATCGAAACTGGACAGAACCCAACAGGCTTAAATTATCAGCATCGTTGCAACCGCATTTCATTTTTGCATCTAATGCTGTGATAGCTGGTCTGTGTTTTGTGTGTGGCTCCTTAGCAGCGCAGCTAAAGAACTGACAAGTGAGTATGTGACAGCCGAACTACAGCTTAGACCAATGGAACTACAAAAGGGAAAGAACACACATGCAGTCCCCCCGCCCCCCGATGTCAAGTTGACTTGTTTACAGTTCTCTATACAGAGCCAAGTCATTTTACCACAAAAATATGGAGTGAGCTATGTGCAACTGATACACTTGGTGCTTGCTTATTTGTTTTAAATAACAGAAAGCTTCAGCACTCAGTATGCCTGGACTCACGGACAGGTGATGCTAAATAAGAAACACATCCCAAGCATGTTAAGTTCATTAAATCCCGATAAATTGCAATAAAGGATTCTGGGAAGGTGGACCTGGATGGCAAAGTAACTCGTGACTCCCACTTTCCTAAACAGCAACTAAAATTCTAGAACTTGCCTTTGAGATATTGCAAGAACTTTGTCAAGTAGCACACGAGAAAATAGAGCCCACAGCCATATAGTAAGCAAAAAAATTCTGTTTGAGTATTGACATGACAGTTTTTGAAAGTTCAAGCAGAAAACCAATTATAATGAGCACCGCAAAGCCCGGAGCCCTGCTGTTCAATAAATAAAAAGTACAACAAACTGTTTTCCAAAAAGGTTCTAGAGAGTTTTCTCCTTGTCCCACTACTTACAATATGATTACATAAATAGTCTCTGTTTGCTGTTGAATTGCCAGGCAGCTGTATTAAAGTACAAATCAAATCAAGTTAGGATTAGAAAGTAAAAGAGCATGGTTTAAAGTAATCTATCCCTCAGGAACTGTGCTCAGATTCATCAAACAGAGCTTAAAGTACAGTATATCTTATACCCTTGTGTTTCTATGCTGCACTGCTGTAAAACCAGTTATTATTTTTGATATCCAGAGAATGTAGCTTGTAGCTTTAGGAGGCTCACTTGCTTATTTAAAAAGTACTATAAACCTTACCTGTCACTTACTATTATTTCTTTTGGTTAAGACTCACGAAAATGACATCAGGACGTCACACAAAAGACCTTTTTTTTTAAAAAAAACCTGACCGTCCCATATTTAGCTGTCTAGAATTATTTTGAGCGTTTTCAGTAGCTAAATGGGGGCGGGGGGGGGGGAGAGGTTTAGGAAGCTATGCAGTTCTGTTTGTTAAAAAAAAAAGGAGAGTTGTCTTCCAAAAAGCAATGTCTGCTTCCTGTATTTGGTATGCCTTCTGTGGCACAAAGCTTAGCAGTTGTGCCCTGGGAACCTTTCTATAAAAATGCATAATTTGGTTCTCATCGAAGAGGGAGCCAGTTTGAAACTACCACACTGGCACACTTTTTGTGCTGCTCCTGCAGTAAAATCCTCCTTCCTGCCTCTCAAGGTGATGCAGATGATCAAACTAACCCAAATGCTCCTTGGCACAGTTTTTTATTTATTATTATTAATTAAATGTTTTAGTCACTTTATTTTTTAAAAAAGGAAAAAAAGGTGGACTTAAACTGTTTTACAGATAATAAACCATATACAGTCGTCAATATTCAGCAGTCTAAATCAGGGGCCAGCAAACTTTTTCAGCAGGGGGCCGGTCCACTGTCCCTCAGACCTTGTGGCGGGCTGGACTATATTTTGAAAAAAAATAATGAACAAATTCCTATGCCCCACAAATAACCCAGAAATGCATTTTCAATAAAAGCACACATTCTACTCATGTAAGGACACCAGGCAGCCCCACAAATAACCCAGAGATGCATTTTAAATAAAAGGACACATTCTACTTGTGTAAAATCACATTGATTCCCGGACCATCCATGGGCTGGATTTAGAAGGCGATTAGGCTGGATCTGGCCCCTGGGCCTTAGTTTGCCTACCCACGGTCTAAAGTTATGGAAGTACAAAGGGCTTCCAGTGTAAATAAACATGGCATGAACGGCCAGAAAGAACAGCTGGTTTGCACCCATATAGATATTTCCCTGTTCAGGAATGAGAAGTAGTACTGAGTTCAAACAGCAGTTATTCATGAGATAGATGTGAGATTCTATTCATTTCTTGGTAGAAGAAAAAATCAGCATGAATTTGGATGTAGAATAAGCATGAGTCCCTTGTTTACGTTGTGAGTTCTGGCTGTGGTCTTCACTGCGGGCATTTCTAGTACAGACAAAAAACTAAGCAAAACTTTATATGGCGATGCAAGTAAACATGCCCATATTTCATGCCCCATATCAGGTATGTCATTATAACAGTTATATGAGAGGCGTGCTAAAAATGCAATGTTACCCGGTAGCCTACGTTGGGTCACAGGGATATTGAATGATTCAGAGTGATGTTGTTGATGAAGACTTTGGAGATCCTAAATCTTAATCCCAATCTAATCCTCCAACCCCCTTGTTGTGTGTTCTGTTGAAAATAGCTTCCTATTTTTAAAATCTAATTATTTTGTCTAGTACAAAGGATTGTCAGAATTACCTGCTGTTCATGCATCACTCTGAAAACCTAAGACATGTTGTCCATTGTAACGGCTGTTCAAGTTGGTTTGTGAACCGTTCAAGTGAATACTATTTAATATCAAACCTTATATAATGTGAGCGAATGCACTGTGGTCTCCAGAACTTGTCAACTATCATCTCAGTGAAATGGTTTGTACCCCATGCTGTTGCAAAGTCAATTAAGTGGGTGTTGATCTGGGGAAATGTGACCTAGACCTTAATATTCATTAAGGGTTTGCCCAGGCCCCAAGACCCATCTTTTGTTTATATATTTTAAAAGACCTGATCTGTTTTTGAGTTACTTTGTGTTTTCTCTACTTTGATCTGTGATTCGGGTTCTGAGCTGCTATGTATCAAACAGAAGTTCTGTGTTTCCCTTTCACCATAATGGGGAATCTAAAATGCCTATAACATTTCCCCCTTTTTCTACAGGAGCTCTTACAGATTGGATTAAGGCTGCCAAATTGCAGACAAATAGTTCCAGGGGAATCACTTTCCTCCATAATCCATATGCATATTTTTAAGTGGGGAGTAAGGGTTTGTCTCCTGATTATTTTTTTTGTGGCCTTAAAATAATTAATAGATGGTTGAGTGGTGTGCATAATTACTGATATAGTTTTAAAAACTTTACTACTTTACACTGGCCTTTCTGCTGCAAGTCCTTGCAACATGTGGCTGTTTTGAATGCTGCCTGCAGAATTCTCAAGGGCTCAGGTTTTTGTTTTTGTTTTGTTAAAGCAGAGCTTTAATGCGGGATTAAAAACCCCCACCTTAAATGAAGATTACCTTTACTTACTGGGAAAGATTGAGGGCAAAAGGAGAAGGGGACGACAGAGAACGAGATGGTTGGACAGTGTTCTTGAAGCTACCAGCATGAGTTTGACCAAACTGCAGGAGGCAGTGGAAGACAGGAGTGCCTGGTGTGCTCTGGTCCATGGGGTCACGAAGAGTCGGACACGACTAAACGACTAAACAACAACAACAACAACCTTTAATTACTGCTGCTGTGTTTAAGCAAAAATCAACACACTCCTATGCATGTTGGACAGCCTCAGTTCTTACAAAGTTCATGGGCCCAGAGTAAGGTAGAGATATAGGAAAACACAGAATTTATAAGGTACAGCAACAAGAGAGCAAGAGAGTGACAGAGGAGCATGAGGTGGTGTGGGACCTCTGCCTAATCTGACGTTATGACATTGGCTTGGGAGAGGAATGAAAACACCCTATTCATCCTGGTGCATCTCATTATTCAGCCTGCATACAGAGTGTATGTACATCCCTAATATTTATACTATGTTCATAGTTAGGGATAGCTGTAGTAAAATTTGGATGATGAATCTTGCTCGAATTTAAAGTGTCTTGACTTTTCCCCTTGTCCTTTTAAGCTATTCCCCCTCCAGTTGCATTCTGAGCCATACACCATTGTACCTATTGAGAGGAATGTCATCAGCTATCATTGTTTAATTACACCAGTGGCAATAATGGAGTAAAATTACCCATTTATTCTTTCCCCCACCCCCATATGCATTGGGATTATTTTTTTTGGGGGGGGTCATCTTTTTCAATATGCAATATGTTGTGTTTGGAAAGCTCTTAATTTATGAAATTCTTTTTAATGACATATTGATTTTTATCAGCCACACCAAACTAAAGGCAAATGTACCATGCTGCCATTATTAAAGAAAAACACCCCTCAATAAATTAGAGGTAAACGAAGATAAATGATTTTAAGTGCTCAGTTTGTAGAGTAAATTGAACCCATACATCACGGGCTTTCATTATTTTATATTTTAAATACAGCCAGGTGTATGGGAGTTGATTGACCAGTAATGTAGAATTAGCTATATTGGCCATAACACTGTTTGTGAGAGGTGGGGAAGAGAAAAAGGATATTGTCCTTTTAATGTAAATACCAGGAGCCTAATTTCCATAGGATTCCCCCCCCCCCCAATATTTCTTTTGAATCGGCTTGCTAATCAGAGAACTCTAGCATGGATTATACTGTCTTCTGGGCAGCCCCCCGCCCTGATCCTGCACGGAGAAATGAAGGGCTCTGTGTTAATTTTAAACCTCCCTTTGATTGGGTGAACCTGTCTCCGTTTTCTGTGACACGGTTGCCACAGGTCATTGCCTGGTGCAGTGTACCATGAAACAAACAAATAGAAAAAGGCACCTTCTGGCACTTTAAGTTCCACTGCCATCTGACTACAGCCCCAGTGGTTCAGAATGATGAAAAACAGAGCAGAGCCTTGGACCAAAAAAAAAAAAAGAGGGTGGGGGGGGGACGGGGGGGGAGCTGCTTCTGGTTAGAGTGGGAAAAATGTGTGTGATGATCACATGAGCTGGGAAGGGCAGGATAGACAGCTGAAGTCATCTCAAAACTCAAGAGAAAAGCAGCCGACAAGAGGTCACAATTATATTCTGGTATCGCCCTCCCTTTCAGCGAGATCTGATATATTCAGTTTGTTCTTGTATGGTGCTTAGGGAAGTTCTAATTAAGGGAAGAAAGAATTTTGACACATGTGAAGCAGAGATCAATATTTAGCACTATAATCAGCAATTCCTGATGGTTTGACAGTGTCACTATACACATTGTAACTATCCATTATTCTCTGAGAAGGGAGCCAGGCGAAGGCTAACAGGCTTACTGCAAGCTATCATGAATCACATAAAGCAGTGCCTCATTCACTTCTATTTGCCTTTCTTTTCATCTTCATTCATCCTTATAGAGGAGGTTTGCGCTGGCTGCCACCGGCCCCCGAAAACTACCATGTTTCTGAACTGCCGCACGGCCACCGATTAAATGTCTGCTTTTATGAAGCGCAATTGCCTGCTTCCAAACAAGAATATTAATATTTTCTTTGCTTATGTGTGCGCTGTATTGTAAAAATGGAGGTGGAGTTCCTTGCTGCTGGGAAAATACATTGCAACTCATTTGCTTTGTTAATGTTCTGTTGGAGGGAAATAGGAAAAGAAAATGCAATAGCACACCGTATTGCATCATACCAAAAACGATGCTTTATGCAGGCGATGAAGTATGTTCTTCTGTGTTAATGACTAAGTAAAAAAAGATCCTAAAGGAAGAAGTATGTGTGTTGGGGGTTCTTTTTGTAGGTGTATATTCATTGTTACTACCCACATTGGACACCTAATCCTGAAAGTTGGGATACAAATTTCAGTTAACATAAACAACAACAATGAAGCACCGATCAAGGCTTAAGGACCAGATGTGTGACGTATAAGCACTTTTATTTACTATAGAAACTTCATTTTGGATGAAGAGCAACAAATATTGCAACTTGGGGAGATGATTCTAGAGGGGGGGAAATGGTCTCAAGTCCTGAACTGAGTGGGAATCACAATAGTTGCAATTATTGTATCTTTTCCTACTGATTTAGGTGGTTTGTGTCCTGTGTAAAATATGCCCAAGGTAATTGGGAGACAGGACTGGGACACATGCCCCCAATGCTTAAGGGTGGGTTTTTTTTTTTAAAAAAACTGCTCCTAAATTGGATATATTTGTATTTGCACAGGACAAAAGTCTTCACACCAAGACTCACTGGGTAGCTCAGTTGATAGAGCATGAGACTCCAGTGGCGTAGCGTGGGGGGTGCAGGGGGGGCCGGCCACACCGGGCGCAACATCTGGGGGTTAGGGTTAGGGAGCGCAAATCCACTGGTTAGGGGGCGCAAATCCACGGGTTAGGGGGCGCAAATTACTTGCCTTGTCCCGGGTGCTGACAACCCACGCTACGCCACTGTGAGACTCATAATCTCAGGGTCATAGGTTTGAGCCCCATGTTGGGCAAAAGATTCTTGCATTGCAGGGGGCTGGACTAGACGGCCCTTGTGGTCCCTTGCAACTCTATGATTCTATTTAGCAGTTTCAGTTTACTAGCAAGAACTTTATCTCCAAAACTGCTGTCACTGAGATGCAAGAGCCTCTTAGATGTCCCATCATGAAGACAAGCTGTTAGTGTAAACCAGGCACCCCCAACCTGCGTCCCTCCAGATGTTTTGGCCTTCAACTTCCATGATCCCTAGCTAACAGGACCAGTGGTCAGGGATGATGGGAATTGTAGTCCAAAAAATCTGGAGGGCCGAAGGTTGGGGATGCCTGGTGTGAACTTTCTCCCCCCTGCCTGACACTGAACTTCTTGCTTGTGAGTTCCTTGCTCTTGCTCACTGATGCTGGCCACTACTTTTTCCTTCCAGGATTGACACAGAATTGTGGTATTTCATAGCCCTTGTACACAACTATGCTGCAGCAGGGCTGTGCTGTTGAGCACACCCACCAGGTGGCCTCCATCGCTGATGAAAACGTTTGCAGAGGGAGAGGCCTTTGCGTGTAGATTTTTACAGTATCAGGAGCCCTGATTGCAGCCACCCACCCATATATATATATATATATATATATATATATATATATGCGCCAGAGCAGAGGATGGGGAGGCCATGTGACCTTGGGGTGGGGCAGAGGTCACCCATGAAAGGGGCTGCTGTCGTAGCATTGTTCTTGACCGTTCTGGAAAGAAAAACAATGGCAGCTGGCAGTAATGAAGAGCTGAGAGATGCAGTATTGGGGAGCTGAGACATGCACCTTTGTTGCATGCAAAGCCAGGTTTCTCTTCTAGCGTTGGCTAACTCCTTAATCATGGTACTTTGATAGCAAAGTAATCAGGTCCATAATAAACATGGCAATCCTCAGTGTTAGCTCCAGGTTCAGTAGGGACCTCCTCCCTTAGTTAGTCTACCTCAGGCATCCCCAAACTCGGCCCTCCAGTTGTTTTGGGACTACAATTCCCATAATCCCTGACCACTGGTCCTGTTAGCTAGGGATGATGGGAGTTGTAGTCCCAAAACAGCTGGAGGGCCGAGTCTGGGGATGCCTGGTCTACCTCCTCACTGCAGCATGTCCAGGGAGCTCTTGTCCAAGGGTACTTTGCTTTGGTGTGTGACCTCTGACAGATGCCCAACCAGGCTTGTCCTTTACATAAGTCCTGCCACTACATACTCATAAACTAGCATTTTCGCTGAGCTGGAAGCCCTTAGCTTAATTCGGCACTTGGCTATGAAGCCACTTGATGGCCTTGAGTAAGCTCTTGGCTTTTGTCTAAAGCAGTGTTTCCCAAACTTGAGTCTCCAGCTGTTTTTGGACTACAATTCTCATCATCCCTGACCACTGGTCCTGCTACCTCAAGATGATGGGAATTGTAGTCCAAAAACAGCTGGAGACCCGAGTTTGGGAAACACGGGTCTCAAGCTAGCCATCTCCTCCCAGCAAAATAGAGGAAAAGCAGTTACTACATTATTGGGGCATTAGTGACAAACAGCTCTCTGGCAAGGTTGCATGTGTTGCATTTGATTTTGCTTGCAAGTTCTTATTGTAAAAATGAAAAATAAAGGGCAGCATCAAACCAATGTGTCCCGTGGGGCAGTTCCTGTTCTACAAGTGGAAATCCTTGCACTACCAGAAGGCTTACTAAGCACTATGCTGGATGCAACTAAAGTCTTTTAAAACACCAATATGGGGATAATAATATTGGCCTTTTTGTGTGAGAACCACTGAGGTAAAATACATAAAGCACCTGAGAGAAGTTTGTTTACCAGAGTATTTCTGGACTGATTTTTTCCTCCCTGGACTGATTTTAAACCCTAACAAGACCCTTTAAGTGGTTTATAATGCTTAGCCAATCAATTAAGGCAAGTTAAAACATTACAAACAGGGCTAAAACGTAGATGAAGAACCGAAGAGCAGAAAAATTAAAATGTCATTGTCGCAATTAAATACCATTGAAAGCCAGACAAAACAGAAACTTTTTTTTAAACTGCCTACTTAAAAACCATCTGGGGCAGAGCTAGTCCAACTTTTTCCAGGAGGGAATTGTGCATCCAGGGTACTGCCACATTGAGGGTTCCCACCAAACAAACCCATTTAAGTGATGGGATAAAAAGCAGGGTCTCTGAAGAAGGATGCCTTTCTGATCGCCTCATCTCAAACATGGCATTATGTTGTTGCCATTTTACGCTACAGAATACCTGCTAGCAGACTGCCAGCAATTTCTAGTCAAGATGAAATTCCTCCTTTGCCTAGGTGGTTATAAAAAACTAACTTGTTATTTTATCTAGATTTTGTCTTATATAGGATGTTTTTGTCCTCTTTTTTAGGATGGGCAAAATGTGCCTTCCACTTAATTGTTGAGGTCATTTGTGGTAGTGTATCATCCCCACGCTCATATTAATGTAAATAGTGTGCCCTGTATTAACATAGAGAAATCAGAACGGTTGGAAAAGGGTAACGATATAATCTGACTCAGTTTTAGTATAGAAGAACCGCATCTCAGACATTTTCTTCCCAACAGTCTCACATTTTGCCGGCTGCACTGTGGAGCTGGAGGTGGATGTGAAAAAGATCTGGCGTCCTGCAGCGCAGCTCTGTTGCTACCGTGAAGGTCCCTGTCCTGCGAGGTGCTGAGCTTGCTGGAGCACCCTCTCTGCCTTTTGATTTAAGCCAGGAATTGAGATCGCTCAGCACCTTGAAGGATTGAGCTGTAACCGAGATGCTGACACAGACTCAGATACTGACTATCCCAAGTACCACTAATTAAGGGCTGTCCAACTGTGCTTTCTGTTGAGCCGTTTGCTCTGGTGGGTGACAGGAAACAGCCTGGGATCTGTCTGCAGGATGACATAACAAAGGAGGGGGAGGGGAAGAGTCAGAGAGAACGGGCTGGTATAAAGAGATCTAAACTAGATTAAGCTTGCTCGATCTCGTGAATATGTAGCTTGAGATTTAAAAGCGTGACTTTATTTTTCTGCCGTTTTCGTTGTAACATGTCGAGTTTTGGCTCTTCCGGTTGCATCTGCCCTTGTGCAATAATCATCACATTATCAAATCCTATGCTCCAACTATCCCTATTTATTAGGGATAGTCCTTATTTTCTGGTTTCTAACACTTATACCTTTTTTTTTTAACCTTTGGGGAGGTTTCAGCCAAGTTGTTTAAGTTGCAATATTTTCAGCCTGCAGTCCTCCTCTTCCCCATTTCCCTAGAAGTTAAAACCTTTATGGGGGTGGTTAATACCTGTCTATTTGTGCATGCTTGTAGTGTACTGCCTTTCATTCCAGAAGGTACAGCTGGTGAGCTTCACTGTGAACATGTTACAGGACAATTATGGCAGTGTTGCTTTTTTTTTAAAAAAATGCTTATCTTTATCCCAAAGAACAAACACCCTCTTTGTTTTTCAATCAATTTGGGACAGGCGATTGTAGAGTAAATTAACACAACACACAGCATGTGGACACCAGCTTTCAGCCATGTGTAAAGGTAGAGAATGAGACTCAGTAGGAGGTTCTTGGTATGAGAATATGGGAAATACAAGTGGAACAGGAGTGTCTCTATTTTGATCTGTGAAGTATGGGGAGGAAGTATGTAAATTCCTGAGAAATGTGGAAAGGCAGATAGTCAAAATGTGTGTGTGAGAAAGTGTGTAGCCTTGTTTTCAGAGTAGGACTTTGAGGAAGATCCTTATTTTTAAAGTGGGGATGTTACCATTTGTGTTAAGTTGTTGAGGGGTGCTGAAACATGAATGGTTCACTCACTTTTCAACTTCCTGAACTCAAACCGAACTTGGAGCAGGTTCACACATTTAAGTTGGAACCGACTGAAACTGTCTTCTTAGCATGCACCATAGATATATTCTGGAATCTTAGCCATTGTGGAAATTGCTGTGACTGATGTCTGTGAACTGCTGGTGGCTGTGTTATATTGCTCATGGGAATGGAAAGCCTCTGGAAGTGTGTTATATTGGCTCAGAGTTTTTCATTATGTTGAGTTGCCGACTTTTGGTTTCAGAAGTTCTTGTATCTGTGTAGGACCAGTGGTATAGTCAGGGTTTTTACACACACTAACTCTGGCATTTACTGCTACAAGATGTAGTACGGACATTCAGCTGGATGGCTTTGAAAGGAGTTTAGACAAATTCATGAAAGATATGTTTATCAATGGTTACTAGCCATTATGTTGTGCACTACCTACAATATAGGCATCTGACTACCAGTTGCTGGAGATCACAAGTCGGGAAAGTGCTGTTTTGCTCATGATTTCCTTGGGAACTTCTCAGAGGCCTTTTCTTGGCTGCTATGAGAACAAGGTGCTGGACCAGAAGGACCTTTGGTCTGATCCAGCAAGGCTCTTCTTGTGTTTTGATAGGACAGGGAACAGAGCCTGAGTCTCTAAGCAAAGACAAGTAAAAAATAATAAAGCTTCCTGTGTGATTTGGGGATCCTCCAGATTAGATTTTGGGATGTGCAGGGGTAGGGGATATATATATATCACATTTTATATGGTAATATTTGGGGAGAGACTATGACTGAGTGCCAGAGCACATGCTTTCAATGCAAAAGATCAGAGATTCTTTATCGATACAAAATTTTAAATTCTCTTCTGTTGCTTATGCACCATTCAGACCCTCTAACAACAATTAAAACCAACAGTGAAATATTTCCCCCATTAAAATGCAACATAATAGAAAGAGACAAACGGCAGCAGCTGAAACAGGCATTGGATAAAGCAAATGACTGCCTGAAGCAGGAAGGTTTTCCCTTGGAGAGCCAGTGTGGTGTAGTGGTTAAGAGCGGTAGATTCGTAATCCGGGGAACCGGGTTCGCGTCTCCGCTCCTCCACATGCAGCTGCTGGGTGACCTTAGGCCAGTCACACTTCTCTGAAGTCTCTCAGCCCCACTCACCTCACAGAGTGTTTGTTGTGGGGGAGGAAGGGAAAGGAGAATGTTAGCCACTTTGAGACTCCTTG